TTCCCCTATATCAAACTGGTCTCTAGGAAGAGTGGTTAGTTCCAACTTAGTTCCAACATCAAGACAAATCAATTTCAGTCAGTAAGCATTTATTTAGCACCTACTATGTGTCAGGCCCTGTGCTAAGAACTGGGGGTACAAGGAAAGGAAAGACAGTCCTTGGTCTCAAGGAGCTCACAATCTAATAGTAGAAAAAAATGCAAACAAGATTATATATACATATAATCTATACACATACATACATGTATGTTGTATGTTGTGTGCGTATACACATGGATTTTTATATAAATTGGGGATAATCAACAGAGGGGAAGTATGAGCAAATAGGAGAGTTCAGGAGAGGCTTCTTGCAGAAGGTGAAATTTTAGCTGCCTCAAAAGAAGCCAGGAAAGCCAAGAGGTAGAGATGAGGAAGAAGAGAGTTCCAGGCATGAGGGACATCCAGTGAAAAGGTTAAGTCAGGAGATGGAGTGCCTTGTTTGAGGAACAGCAAGGAGATCATTGCAGAGAATGTGGAGAGTAAAATTTAAGAAGACTGGAAAGGAAGGTGATGGTCAGTCACATTGTGAAAGGCTTTGAATGCCAGAGGATTTTATATATGATCCTTGTACTGATGAACCACTGGAATTATTGAATGAGGGTAGAGGGAATGATATGATCAGATTTGCCTTTAATGGTGATCAATTTGATACATAGAGAACTAAGCCAAATTTCTAAAAATAAGAGTCAATTGATAAATGGTCAAGGGATACGAACAGTTTTCAGAAGAAGAAATCAAAACTATCAATAGTCATATGAAAAAGTGTTCTAAATCACTGTTGACTAGAGACATGCAAATTAAAACAAACTCTGAGGTACCACCTCACATCTAGCAGATTGACTAAGATGACAGGAAAAAAAATTAAAAATGCTGGTGGGGATGTGGAAAAATAACTGCTATAATACCTGTTGGTGGAGTTGTGAAACGGTCTAATCATTCTAGAGAACAATTTGGAACTATGCACAAAGGGCTATAAAACTGTACATACCCTTTGACCCAGCAATAACATTATTAGGTCTGTAACCCAAAGAGACCAAAGGGAAAAACTATGGGTACAAAAATATTTATAGCAGCTCTTTCTGTGGTGGCAAAGAACTGGAAATTGAGGGGATGCCCATCATTTGGGAAACTGAACAAGTTGTGGTATATAATTGTGATGGAATACTACTGTGCTATAAGAAATGACAAGCAGGAAGCTTTCAGAAAAACCTGGGAAGACTTATGTGAGCTGATACAAAATGAAATGAGCAGAACCCAGAGAACACTGTATATAGGAATAATATTGCAATAAATGTGAAAGACTTAGCTACTCTGATCAATACAATAATCCAAGACAACTCCAAAGGACTCAATGAAAAATGTTCTCCACCCCCAGAAAGGGATCTGATGAACTCTGAATGCAGATTGAAGGATACTTTTTTTCACTCTTTCTTGCTTTTTAAAAATTTATGTGCAACATGGCTAATATGGTTTTGCATGTTTTCACATGCACAATTGATATCATTGCTTGTCTTCTCAATAGGTAGGGAAGGAGAAGGAGGGGGATTGGAATTTTGGAACATTTTTTAAAAAAATGAATGTTAAAAATAAAGATTATCAATTTGACAGCTGAGTGGAGGATGAATTGGAGTAGGAAGAGACTTGAGGCAGAAAGACCAACCAAAAGGCTCTTTCAATAGTTTAGGTATGAGACTATGAGTTCCTGCACAAGGGTGGCGTCAGTGTTAGATGAAAGTAGGAAGTAGGGTGTAAGAGATGTAACACTGCATTGAGTGTTACTCCCATAGGTCACTACTTGTTCCTTAGAACATGACACTGCACTGGCTGTAAAACCTGGCCTGGACTTGGACTTCTGGAGTCTGGTGGCTTCCTCTTCAGACCTTCTGAAACTCTCGATCTTGAAGACTCTCTTTGCTTCACCAGACTCAATGGGTGGAGCCACTCCCACCCACCAAGGAGAGAGGAGTCAAGGAGACTGAAGCAGAGAGATGACGGAAGCCACCTAAGGTTTTTTAAATGCCTGGGCAACCAATCAAAGAGCCCCCCATTCACCAAGGGATTAGTAGACCAGAACTAGTTATACGACTACGCATGAACCACGGTCCCTCCAGAACACTTCCCTTGCAAGTCATCGAGCCTCTCCCCAGCACTGTCCACATGCATAGCAGAGCAAACTGTTGAGGTCTGGGAATGTGCCAAACCCTTGTTACACACACAGACACACTCACAAGATGGAGGCTGGAAGGATCCTCAATGATCATACGGTCCAAACATTTCATAGCACCCAGGGTCCCAGAGCTAACAAGTAGCAGGGTGAGGATTTTTAGCCCATCTGTGCCTAGCCCTGGGTTGTTCAATATTTGTATCCATGACTTGGACTGACACTGATAGCATGCTTCTCAAAAGTACAGGTGGCACAAAGCTGAGATAGATAACAAATCAAATGATGTCAGGATCCAGAAAGATCTTGCTGGGCCAGAATGCTGAGCTGAATCTAATTGTTTCTCAGCCTATTTGGGCTAAGAATAAGGCTACAGTCTTAGTCTTGCTATGTCCTACCACAGCCTTTTTCTAGAGGTCTTTTATTATCTTTTTATTCATCTTGTTTCTTTTACAGGTCTCACCACCTAATTGTGCATCCTCTCAAGATCTTTGGTTGACAACCTCCATATGTGATCAAAGACCTCTGTCAGAGGTCTTCTGCTTCCTTGCTTGACATTCATTCTCTTTAGTGGTTCTCTACTGGTCCAGTGGGAAGTTCCTTGTTTTACCTCCCAGCCAAGATCTTTTCTCTTTTTACCTCACTTCTGAGGTAAATTTCTTATTTTATTCAGAACATGTTCTCAATAATCCTAGATTGCTCTTTTAAAAAAATACCTAGCAACTAGAACTTTTATTGCTTTACTTCAATTTCAGGAATTTCTTCCTTGCTTCCTTCCACTTATTTATTATTCAGAATCTAGTCCGAATGATAGTTGCTTTTTCCCCCTTTGCCCCTGATTCTTTTTTCGTAAGTATTCCTCCTTTTTGGTGCTCACAAATTAAGCTGTGCCTAGTTCTAGATTTTATCTCATTTTTTTTCTTCTTTACTCCCCTCCCTTTAAAAAAATTCAATTTCATTTATTTATAGTTTTACCTATTACTATATCTGTATACATATCTGTATATATGTATGTGTACATATACATAAATACTTGCACTGTAGAGATAAGATTAAGATACGTAATATGGCTTTTTATGGGACAAAGATAGAGCTGGACTGAAATATGGATTCAGGTTCAGAATAGGGCCACTGATAGGAATAGTATGTCTTTTTTAGGGTCAAGGCAAGGGGTCAGTGTTAAGAGTTTTAGGGAAAGAAATAGGGTTCAGAAATTTGTATGATTTAGGGTTAAGTACATACATTTAAGTAAGCACTGATAGAAGGATATTATTAATATTAGAGAGTGATAATTTTAATATCCTAGAATTAAGTTTTAGGAATAATTTAAGAAATATTTTAAGAATACAATCAATTCAATTGAAGAGACAATTTCCTAAATGTCAATGTAAAGTCATATGCTTGCATTTTTAAAAATAATCTTCCCAGGGAGGCACAGTTAGACAGAAATACATCTGAAAAAAAGATGGGGAGGAGGGGGTTCAGTTAATTGAGAGTTCCATATGTGAGTCGAATGGCAGCCAAAAAAAATCTGACTTTAGACTGCAACAAAAATGGCCTACCATTCAGGACTAGGAAGTGACAATGTCTCTGGGTTATACCAAGGTCAGACCACAACAGGAGTACTGTGTATAACCTGGCCACATCCTTTTAGAAAGGACATCAGTAATCTGGAGGGTACCCAGAGAAAAGCAAATAAGATGGTGACCTTCATACCATGATAATTAACTGAAGGAACTAGGGTCCTTTAGCCTAGAGAAGACTTCAGAGTGGACCAAGTATGGACCAAGCTATCCTCAAGTACCTGAAGAGCTAGCTGTCACAGGGATGAGACATTGAGCCTGGATGGAAATTGGAAAGAGAAAGATGTATGCTTGATGTGAAGAAATTCCTAACACAAAATAAAAGGACAAAGCTGCCCCTGGATGTAGTGGGTTCCCTGTCCTTGGAAGCCTTCAAATCAACGCTAGACCTGGAGTTAGGAAGACCCAAGTTCCAATTTGGCTTCAGACAATCACTAGCTGTGTGACCCTGGGCAAGTCATGTAACTTCTGTCTGCCTCTGCTTCCTCTTCTGTAAAATGGAGATAACACCTACCTCCCAAGGTTGTTGTGTTGATAAAGATGAGATATTATTTGTAGAAAACTTTGAGAACTTTAAAGGGTTATCAAGTAATAAGTAGTAATTAGTATGCACTACTTAATAAGCTTTGATAGTTTAAAACTGCACCAAGCCTTTTGGGTCACCCCGTATAAATGCTAGTTATCATCACCACCATCATCATTAATATGACGATGATGAGAGCTGGATGGCATTCGTTGGGAACGTGATGGAGTTAGGCTCTTTCCAATTCTTAGCTCCTTTTCCCTCCCCACGCCTGCCTCCTGGACGGCCAGGGGTCACACGGCACGACCCTGTGACTGCCCTTTCACCAGCTCGCCCCAGGGAGGCGCTCTCCCGCCTCGGCGTGAAGACGTCAATCCGCCCCCTCCCCACTCCCAATCCCTTTCCCGGTTGGCAGGGAGAGAGGGCGCGTGACGAGACACGGCCGTGGCCCCGCCCCCTCCCTCCCCACTCCCTCTCTCCCTCCCCGTCCCCTCCCTCCCTCCCTCCCCCCTTCGCTCCCTCCCTCTCCCCTTGTCAGCCCCGACTCTCCCTCCTGGCGGTTGTTGTTTCGCGGCGGCGGCGGCAGCGGTAGCGGCAGCGGCAGCAGCTCCCTTCCCTCCGCCGAGGAGCCGGCTGGGCCTGGCGGGGCTTCCCCCCCGCCGGCCCCCGCCTCGCCTCGGGCCCGTCAGCGGCGATGGAGCTGGAGGTGCCGGACGAGGCGGAGAGAGCCGAGGCGGGGGCCGTCCCTCCAGAGGCAGAATGGGCTGGGGAGAGTGGGGCGGCGGCGCCCTCGGCGACAGGTAACGGTCTCCGGCTTCTTGCCTCCCCCCCCCCCCCCCCCCCCCACTGGTGTCGGCCGGCCCCTCGCGCCCCCCCTGCCCGCCCTAAGGGCGCCGGCCCCCCCCCCCGCGCCCCCCCCCGGCCCCCCCCGGAGGGGCCGGCCCCCCCCCCCCCGACCCGATGGTGCCGGCCGCCCCCTCGCGCTCCCCCACCCCATCCTAGCTGCTTCAGTGGAACCGCCCTTGGGTCCAGAAAGCTGGGAGCTCTTGGTGACCTGAGCCTTCGCTTCCTTTCTCCGGCGGGGGGCCGCAGGGAATGCCCCATTTCCCAGTGTTGCTGGTGGGGGTGGGCAGGAAAAAAGGGAGATTCCGGCCTCTTTTCCCCGACCCGCGGCTCAATGTGATGGAACTGACCGAGGCATCACCCCGTGACTTCCCCTCCCTCCTGGCCCCACAGCGGAACCGCCCCTCCCCGAAGTGGACTCCCCGGGTGGGTGGGTGTTCCTCTCTATCCTCAGCCTTCCCTGCCCCTCCAGACCTGTGCCCCTGGGGTCCTGACATCTCAGTGATCCTAGGGGAGAAGAGGAGGATGAAGAGAAGGAGCAGAAGCGGGTGGGGACCCGAGGAATCCTGAGTTCAGAGAACCTTCCAGGTCATTTAGTCCAGCCTCCTGTCTGTGCCTGTCACCTTTTTGGCCACAGAGGGATGGACGGCGGGAGGCTTGTGTTCCAGATCCTTCCCTGCTTCTTGGCCCACTGCTTGACCAAGGGCAGGCAAAATCACTTTGTCTCTGAACCGGTTTTCTCCATCCTTAAAATAGGGTTAATAATACTTGCATTGCCTGTCACAGACAGGGATGATGTGAGAAAAGCACTTTGTAAACCTGAAAAGCAGGGTGAGTTGTTAGCCCTTTCAGGCCTCAGTTTCCTCATCTGTACAAAGAGGGTGGTGGGGAGGAGTCTCTAGAGTAGATTATCTCAAAATCCCTTCTAGGGCTAAGATTTGGTTGAGGGGTAGGTAGGGAATTCTCATATCCCAAGTATTGCTTAAACTCTAGTCACTACCCCCAATGCACCCTTTATCTCCTCAAGCTTAATATGAGGCATGCAGCTGGCATTATGCATAGGGGAGAGAGAGAGAGAAGACCTATTTATCGATCTCCTGACTGTTGATCTTTCCTATGTTGAATGGGGTGGTGGGTGAAGGTAGCAGCATCCTGCCTTCTTTCTCAAGGGAAGAGATGCAAGGGTTTTGCACAGAGGGAGTCTTACTTCCTGATAAAGTGACTCAGACCTGAAGCTTTGGAATAGGAAAATTCTGGAAGCCTCTCCCAAAGCAACCTCTGTCATCTTTCCAGGTTTAGTGACTCAAAATAGAGACAGTATATCTTCTTTTCTCAAATAGTAATTGACCAATAGGGTTGGACGTTATGCCCGGAAGCTAGGAAAATGTAGAGAAGTGGACTCAAAAGATATGGGCAGTCTCATTTCTGCCACAATGTTCACCCCATTGAAATGTTTGTTTACTTAGGAAATGAACTAGTTTAATAGTTATGTGTCTCTTACTCTGTTGTCATGAAGTGGAAGAATACTGGAATTGGCCCGGAGACCTCCATTTGAATCAATGTTCTGCTACCTTGCTGAGCCTTAGTTGTGCTATCAGTAATATGGGGTTGATACCCAAAGTCGTTTTGCCTTGAAAGTCTTAGAATGATATAGAAATGTAAATTGTTATTGTTAATTTGTTGTTTTTTTTAAGTGTGTGGCAGCAGATAAGGACCCTACATGACCTTCCTTCCTTGTTAGTTTCATTGAGCAGTGTGGGCACCAGTTAGGTTGCAAAGCAGTAAGCAAGGTCCTTTCCTTTCCAACCTTCATCTTCCACCTGTAATTCCCTCTTTGGCTAATCTTCACAAAGCCAGAAAAGCACGAGGCTTGCCAGGACACAAGAAACTCCGTGTTTTTAAACATTTTATCTTAGAAGTTCACTGGGGCCTCTGATTGGAAGACTGATAAGATTAAGTACAAGCCCTGACTGTTGGGAAACCTGAAATTAGATAGGCCTGGACCCAAATATTACATGAAGTTGCTAAAATTGAGTTGAATGGCCTGAGTCACTCACAGTTCAGGAGCCTTGTACTGTTCTCTGGGTCTGACCTGGGAAGGAGCTTTCTCTAAGCTTTTCTTCTTTTGTCAGGGTTGTGGTGCCAGTGTGATTGGAGGATTATTCAAGCTGATGGATTTGGGGAGGGAGGGGGAATGATGCTCAGAATTGTTGGTGGATTTAAAGGCTTTCATGATGAAAATTCCTAGCGCCGAGGAGTTGATTGTGGTTTCCAGGACCACTTAAGGGCCAGCACTGTGGTCAGTGGAGTTCTTCCTCTCTTCTCCCTCCTTCCCCCCCTCCCCCACTTTGGTACCCCTTTAACGTGTGGACTGATGACTTCAAAATGTTTTGATTCCTTAGAAAAAGCCAGTAGCTGAGTTAGATCACCTTCACTGACATCCTACCGTACCAACTCTCTTGCAAAATCCTTTGTCCAAAGAGCCAGAGCCAGAGGGGACGTTGGAAATTATCCAGTTCACGCCTCCCTCCATTTTACACATGAACAATCCCAGGCCAAGTAAAGGGGAGTTACTTATTTGCTTAGGGTCACACAACAAATTAGTAGCACTGATGAGACTAGAATTCAGGTCTTCTAGGTTCGGTGACCTTTCCATTACACCAGAATGCCTTTTTAGAGATTATTTCATAAATTCAGAAAGAATTTCTTGCCCAAGCCCCTTGCCAGAGCACTGTGGTGTGATGGAAAGAACATTCAATTTAGAGTCAAGAAAGAAGGGTTTGAATCACCTAGCCTTTGTGACCTTGGGCAAATCATTTAAACTTTCTGAGCTTCGGTTTCCTTATTTGTAAAATGGGTGTAATAGTACTTAAATATCTGGACCAAACTGGGCTTTTGAGAAGAGAGCACCTTATAAATTGTAATGTTATACATATTGTAACTGTATAAGTTAGAAGGCTTAAGTTTTTTTGGAATGACATCTTTTGAAATTCACTACAGGAATGGTTTTCTTGCCCTCAGTCTCCATTAGGAAGATAGGGTATTTAGGTCAAATACAATCCAGCTTTCCTGTTTGGGAGGAGCCTGACTTGAGCTTCAGACCACTAGCAACTGTTTCTTGGTCTGCTACCTAACTAATCCATTCATGCCAGATGCTGGCAACTGCCTGTTCTAAACTGCAGAGCTTGCTCGGTCGGAAGGGACTGGTCCCTACCTCCTATAGAAAACCAAGGGAAAAAAAATACAGAAACTGGCCATGTGAACTAGCCTCCTGAATGCTGGTGCCCGTTGTCCCAACCCTTCAATGATTGCAAACTCTGTGACCTCTGACCACTTGTCTTGGACTTCAGACCACCCTTGTGTCTGCTCTTGTCTTGTAATGTTTTTCTAGTCTACCTGCTTGTCTACTCTTGGTCTCCTTTGCCTCTCTCTAGACGTCAGCTCCCTTATTTGTAAGGTAGGTAGGTAAATGATTTCTAGGCCTTTTATAGTCCTAACATTTAGTGATTCTATGAAATTTATGCTTGTTCTGCTTTCAGAATGTCTACCTATTAGTGGTTTCTAGTCTTTACCCTGTTGTGCTGGTACTTGGATAAATTGAACTCCTTTGTACCTTGCCCTGATTTGACCTATGATACCTCATACCTAGTACTGACAGTTCCTCTTTCATCAGATTGTTGAAAAAGTGACTGCCCCCCATCTTGTCCAGCTAGTTTCTGGTCATTTTTTTGGTTTAGGGACTCATTGAATGGGACGGGTGTATACATGTGTTGGTCAGCTTTTTTGTCAAAGTAAGTACCAGAAAAGATAGAGTTACAGAGTGGAATTATTGAATCATAGACTGTCTGAGCAAGAGGTTGTCCTTAAAGGTCATCCTTCATTTTATTAATATGGGATGTTAAACCCAAAGAGGGGTCACTTTCTCTTGCTCTCCAGATCATACAGTAACTTTATGGCAGAGTCAAAACTACAACTCAAGTTTACTGACTCTCAGACTTAGGCTTTTTCCTCTACATTCCACTGCTTGGTTTATTGCTTATACGTGAACTAAGCTTTGGTTTTATTTTTAATAGCTTTTAGTAAGGAGCGTTTATAAAATCTTCTGTTTGGCCTATGAGACTTTTTTTTTCCATTTAACTTAAGGATAAGAATTATTGATCCTTTTTTAGGCAGCCCATTTGGGGAGAAATGGAAGAAGTTGACTTTAGTCTTTGGGGGCTGCAAAATAGCAGCATGTGGACTGCTCAAACCCGTTTTCCACTTTGGCATCTTTGTTTAGGCTATTCCCTATATCTGGAATGCCCTCCTCACTATTTCTGTTCATTGACATTATTATCATAACAATACTATCTTCTTAGATGTGTTTTCCCAGATTCTGCCAAGCTAGAAACGACTACTTCATCTGCTCTTATAGTACTCCATGCACATCATCATTAGAGGCAGCTAGGTGGTGAAGTGGATAGAGCCCTGGGCCTACAGTGAGGAAGACCTGAGTTAATATCTGTTCTCAGATATTTAATGGCTGTGTGACCTTGGGCAAATAACTTATCTTCTGTCTGCCTCAATTTTCCTCAGCTGTAAAATGGAGGTAATAATAGCACCTACTCATTTGTGAGGACCAAATAAGATATTTGTAAAGCACCTAGCAGAGTGCCTGATACATATTAGATGCTTAATAAGTGCTTGTTCCCATCTTTCAATCAGTAATAATAGTTGACATTAATATAGTACTTAAGGTTTGCAGAGTGTTTTACACAATTACAGGTTTACACCTCAGAACAATTCCATAAAGTTTGTATCACGAGTATGGCGTAGTGGATAGAGCATTGAACTTGAAGTCAGGAAGACCCGAGTAATAATACTGCTTCTGACACTTAGCTCTGTGATCTTGGTTAGGTCAATAACCTCTTTTGTACCTTAGTTTCCTCATCTGTAAAATGAAGATAATAATAGCACC